AGGAAAGAGTAGAGCTTAAGTCTTTGCTTATACTACACAACATCCTAACTCACATCTCTGGCCATTGATTCTGCTTCTACCATGATGGGAAAATTGTCTGTGCTCCTCTACAAAGCCATCCCTTCCATGTTTGCCCTGGATTCCATGATCTGCTGACTTATTAAGGGCTTGATTCTGCAATTGACCCTCTCTTTTCTGAACCATCAATGTTTCCCTCTATAACAGATTATTCCTATCAGCATACAAACAAGCTCTGATGTCTCCCATCTTAAAAGAGCCTGCCTTGCTTCTACTCCCTCAAGCCGCCATGCTACTCTTTGCTCCTTTTACAGCAAAATGTCTCTCAAGTGCTGTCTACACTCTCAGTATTTCTGCTTCCTCTTCTTCATTCTGATCCAAACCTACCTTAATGAGGATCCCATCCTCTCTTCCCACTAAAACAGCTCTTATCAAGCTCACCAGTGACCTTGTTGCAGCTGTGGTTGGAAAAGGGGCCACATGGCAGGCCTTACAAACTCGGAGATGGAAAGGAACCACACAGTGTGGTCTGAATGTAAAACTCCCTAATTAGAAGCAGGTCATGGTGGGTGGGTAGCCTCGTCCTAGGCCTGTAGCTTTCCTGACAAAGGTTAAGCTTTATTTTTGAAATTGTCACTTGTCTTTGTACATCTTAGATAACAAACCTTTGAAATGTCAGAGTAATTGTCCTTTCCAGACTCCTCAAGACATAGCACAAGATAACCAGAGAGCACATTGTTATGTTGTTGCCCGCATACCATCTCTATGTGCTGTAAATGTTAACCATCCTGTTCCCACCAGTGAAAAGAAGTATGTGTCTCTCCACTTTGCTTTTTATCCAGTCTCAGAGATTTCCCTGCTTTGCTTTCTCCCGCCTCCTTAATCTACCACCAATGAATTTCATGGAATCCTTCTTAGGTTTCGTCCTTTGATCCTATGTATAAAATAAGCTGCAAAACTGCCATTCTCCAGAGCATTTTTTTCTCAGTTAGTTGAGATTTTGCTTCCCTGCATTTGCCATCAAATAAACTCTTATAAGACTTTTTCGTAGGCAGGGCATTCAATGGTCATTTCTCAGTCCTCATCTTATTCTACATGTGAGCACCAACCACTCTGCACAGCTGGTAAGGCTCTGTTAACAGGTGTCTTCCTTGGCTCCAGGACACCACTCTCTCAGGTCTTCTATCTCACTGGCCACTCCTCTCAGTCTCCCTTTGTCTTCCCAACCCGTAAGTAACAAAGTGCCCGGGATCAGTTCTTGGACAAATTTCCTAGCTATACCCACTCTTTAGATGATCTCATTGAGTCCCATGGTTTTAAATATCATTCACATACTGATGACTCCTGAAGTTATATTTCCAACCCTCTACCTCTCCCCTGAACCTCAACTGCCTACTCTACGTAGATGTATAACATGCATATCAAACTTCAAACCCAAATCAACTAAACACATCCAAAACTCTGTATTCTCCATCCGAGCTCAGCCCTTTGTCTTCCCTGCTCAAATTTTCAGTGGCTCAGATTTCAAAACTTGGAATCATTATTGACTCTCTTTTATACAACACCCCCTATCTATCCACAGATACTGTCAGCATTTCATTCAAATTATATCTAGAGTATGATTGCTTCTCACCACCTCCACCCTAGTCCAAGCCACCACCATATCTTGCCTGGAGGATGCTATCAGTCTCCTAATTGACCTCACTGCTTCTATCCTTGCCTTCCCCAACACTAGTATCCAGAGTAATCTTTTAAGAAACTGCAATTAGATAATGCCATGCCTCCACTTTAAATCTCCTAAGGCTTGCCACCTCACTTGCTGAATGAAACCCTAAGACCTTATCAGGGCCGACCAGCCCTCTGAGACCTGGTTTCAGCTACCTTTGTGACCTCAGCTCCCACCCTCCTCCCCTTTCCCACACACCAGTCTAGATACTGGTTCCCCTGATATTCTTTGAAGATGCTAAACCCATTCCTGCCTCAGGGCCCTTGCACTCTGTCCTCTAGTCCATATCACCCTTCCCTCTGTATCTGCATGGTAAGTTCTCTCACTTCCTTCAGGCCTCTGCCCAAATTTCACCTTCTCAAAAAAAGCTGTGGCTATTCTTTCTAAAATAACCCCTCCTCTGTCATACACATACTCTCTCTCATTACTATGCTTTATTTTTCTTCCTACCAATGATCATACCTGGACATATTTTTTACTATTTGCTAATGTGTAAGGAGCTTGTTAACTCAAATTACTCTATCAACTCAATTCGAAAAATCGGCTGAGAGACAGCTGGTATCTCAAAAAACTCGTTAGTCGGGACACTCGTAAGTCAAGGCCCCACTGTATTTGCTAATGTGCTATTGATTGTTAACCACATTAATATGTAAGTTCAAAAGAGCAGTTTTTGTGCATTTAGCCATTGTTGTACCCCAAGTTCCTAGAAGAGTGCCTGATACATAGTAAGTGTTCGACAAACATATGTTGAATGAATGGATTTACTGAATAAACTCATCTAGGTCTCTTGTCATCAGGTGAAGAGAGTGGTTTCCAGACATTTGTCTAATTAATATGATCAAAATCAAGTGTGAGGAACCGGGAGAGTTATGCGTAGAGATAATCGGATTATGCATTTATTTAGTACCAGTGACCACCATGGGATTCACAGTTATTTTCAGGTTGTTCCTTGATGTCAACTCATTTGTCAAATTCTAAGGCAGAACAAAACACCTGCCTGTCACTACTTTGGCATGTCACCTATCCTTGGGGACTCAGGGTGTTTATCTGTGAAATAGGCAGTTGGAGATGTGGTTACTGCTTGGCTACTTCATGGTCTACAAGGTGCTGGAGGGAGGCAGTACCACCACTCAGACCCTGGAGCTTGACTGCCTATCTTTGAATCTTGCCTTCATTCCTCACAAGCCACACGACTTTGGGCAACTTACTCAGTCTCCTCCTTTGTAAAGTGGGAATAATAAAAGAATAATAAGTCCCTTAATTATTTATTGTTAAATAATTAATAATTCAATACTTTTTAAATTCAAATAATAATTGTGAGGATTACATATATGGTAATACACGTAAAGTACATCACATATGGTCTGGCACATAGTAAGTGCTCAATACATGTTAGCTATTAAAAATGAAAAGTTCTGGGGGAAGTTTTGAGGGGATCATTGCTATTAATGTGTTTTAGGAGCAATAAGCTAGAATATTAGACGATACAAAATCTTTTAAGGTGTGTTAGTAATATTGTGATTGTGTAGAAGAATTCCCTTATTCTTAGGAGACACATGGTGAAGTACTTAAGAATAAAGCCTCATAATGTCAGTCACTTTCTAGTAATCTAGTGAAATGTACCTCCATGTTTCTATACCAGTGATGGCAAACCTTTTGAGCTCGGCGTGTCAGCATTTTGAAAAACCCTAACTTAACTCTGGTGCCGTGTCACATATAGAAATTTTTTGATATTTGCAACCATAGTAAAACAAAGATTTATATTTTTGATATTTATTTTATATATTTAAATGCCATTTAACAAAGAAAAATCAACCAAAAAAATGAGTTCTCGTGTCACCTCTGACACGCGTGTCATAGGTTCGCCATCACTGCTCTATACTGTCTATGAAGCAAATATGGTGAGATGTTAACAACTATTGAAGCTAGATAGACAGTTCAGTTTATCGTATTATTCTTTCCACTTCCCTGTATGTTTGAAAATTTCAAAACACAAGGTTGAAGGGAGAAATAAAACCTCTAGAAATAGTCTAGCTAAGTCCCACACGTTTTACAGGAATAGGCTCAGATGTGAAGCATTTGCCTCAGGTCATTCAGCTGGTGAGGCCTGAGTCAGAGCCCAGTTCTCCTGGCTGCCCCTCTCTCCTTTGTTTGCTGCTCTGGACCCTCAGGCAGCAGGGAGCAGTGGAGGAACACGCCCAGCTCCCCCTCAAAGAGACAAGGAGTAGTAAGGGTGGGTAAAAAGGCACCTGTGTTGGTGTTTCCTTTTGGTTTATTAAGCCAATAGGTCATCTGGTTGGAAAGTGTGGTGTCAAAAATGCGAAGGCAACACCAGAGCCAGACCTGCCATCCTTAGAGAGTGGGCCTACCAGTTTGGCACCACCAGCTTGTGGTTTTTGAGTGGCAGGTGTGTGTGTGTGTGTGTGTGTGTGTGTGTGTGTGTGTGTGTGTGTGTGTAAACTCTGGGGATGCAGAGGCCAGAGGAAAGCGGGGCGGGGCCAGGGCCAGCGAGAGACTGGCTTCCATGCTGGAGCTCCCTGAAAAAAGGGGCCAGGGTATCAGGGGAGGAAACTCGGGAACGTATTTAAAGAAAAATGATTCTCTGCGGTCTGCATCTCCTCCTCTAGCTAATAGGTTCCAAGGCAGTGAAAAGGAGAGAACGGGGGAAGAGGGAGGGGGCACAGAGAAGGAACCGGAAAGGAAGAAGAAAAATATACAGAACAGGCAGCCTGGACCACGGTGGGGAGGGCTGGAGGGGAAAGGGTGTAGGAGAGGAAGGGAGCCGAGGACGACCCTTAGCCTCTGCAAGCGGAGAGTCTTGCCCCAGAACTGTCCTGCCGCTCTCTCCTCCGTGTCTGGCGGTCCCGGAGGCCGCCGGAGCGAGCGCAGAGCTCCAGGCGCTTTACTAGGGGGAAGGGCAGGAGAGGCGGAGCC